TTATCTGTACGCATAGCGTAGTAGACATGCCTTCCTTCCTTCTTTTCTTTCTTTCTTTCCTTTTTTCTTTCTTTCTTTCTCTCTCTCTCTCTTTCTTTCTTTTTGGTTTTCAAGACAGGGTTTCTCTGTGTAGCCTTGGCTGTCCTGGACTCATTTTGTAGACCTGGCTGGCCTTAAACTCACAGAGATCTGACTGCCTCTGCCTCTCGATTGCTGGTATTAAAAATGTGTGCCACCACCGCCCAGCTGAATATAAATTGCTTTAATCTGTCAGAAAGGGCCAAATATAGATGATTCCACACTGATACTGACAATAACTAGAGCCCCTTGTTATTTTTTAAATAGCAGTCTAGTGAAAGAAATCATAGCTCCCTGGAAACATGGCTGATTTTTGAGACCATGACATAGATGTACAATATAAGCCTGGAATATTTTGTAGCAACTGAAAGTATGGAGGCAATTAAAAAAAAAAAAAGATACTAATACTCCATACTAATGGAGTGCTGAAGAAGTCCAGGAGCCAAATCAATCGGCATCATATTGGCCAAAAGGGAGACAATTTGAGCAACAGCATTCATAAAATAGTAATGGATTGTCATACAACATGAAATAAATACCCTCATCTTCACGATGATATTAATCAATCATTTAATAACTTGAAAGAGAGCAGAAGATGATGGAATACAGAATTCCAGTTTGTGTTGGTATCTAGTGTTTAGATTATCCCTGTCTTAGGGCAACTATTGCTTTGATGAGACAACCTTGGCCACAGCATTCAGGGAGGAAAACGTCTATTTTGCTTCCACTTCATAGTCCATTACCGACAGAAACCATGGCAGGAGCTCAAGGCAGGAACCTAGGGGCAGGGACTGAAGGAGACGGCATGGCACTTAGGGATGCTACCTGCTACTGGCTTGGTCCCCGTGGCTTTATCAGCCTGCTTTTTTAAGCATCAAGGTCCACCTGCCCGAGGGTGGCACCACCCACGGTAAACAGAGACCTCTTACCTCAGTCATCATGGAGAAAATACACCACAGGCGGGCCCACAGGACCATCTGTTGGGAGAACCATCTGTTCTCACTTGGAATTTCCTCTTCTAAGAGGACTCTAGCTTGTGTCAAGTTGACCTAACACATTGGTTAGCACAGCCCTCTGGAAGCCAGACATTGCTTCAGTTAATTTATTTGAGACAACAGAACAAAAACCAGCCTAAGGCCAATGAGAAAGGTTGCTGAGATGCCCAGCGTCCTGCACCTGAGGTCAGGAGCAGACTGCTACTGGCCCAGGGTTCAGTGGCGGTGGGGGTCTGTGGAACAGCAGTCAGTGGTGAAAGGTAAGGTAAGGGACTGGTGAGGGCCCCCTGGAGAGGGCTGAAGCTGATTCCTAGCATTGTTAGCATGACTATGCTGTGTTGGAAGTGAGATCCATAATCACTGTTTATGGACGACCTTAGGGTCAGAGTCATAAGTTGACAATGGCTGAAACTGACACTGCTTCAAAAACCCATTGAGACTGGGCATGGTGGTGCATGCCTTTAATCCTAGCACTCATATAGCAGGAAGGTCTTTGTGAGTTCCAGGCCATGCAGGGCTATATAGTGAGACCCTGTTTCAAACCAGACGTACAGACAAGAAAAATTTCACCCTCCCAACACCGAGTACAAGTACATAAGGTTCTGAAAACGCGCACGGGGACGATAGGTCGCCCAGTGTGACAGACAACCATTTTTTGTAGTTTTTTTTTCATTATTGTACACTTTTAATTTTTTTAGATTATAATTACATGATTTCCCCCTCCAAACCCTCCCATATAATGACACCTTCCCGACCCTTTCAAAGTCGTGGTCTCTGTTTTCCAGTGACTGTTACCTGCGTAAATGTATGTGTGCGTATGTGAACCTAGCTAAACCTCAGTCTGCAGAAGTCACTTGTACTTTTTTTTCAGGGTTGGCCATTTGGGATTGGAGAACTGATTGGTGTCTCTTCCCTAGAGAAGACTTTCTGTAGCTCTCGGCATTCCCAGTCGCCTGTTGGTCTTTGCATAGCGTCGAGGCCTCCTGGGCTTTCCCCTCTGCCCACGTTGGCACGCCTGTTGTTATTGGCTTAACTCAGCTCACGTTTTGGCAGTCATAATGGGGAGACTTTCTGCGTGTAGCTTTTGACATTCCTGGGAGACAGCAAAGTCCCTGATCTTCTGGCTCTTATGCTCTTTCTGCCCTGTCTTCTACAATGATCCCCGTGCCTTGGGTTTAGGAGTTGTATTATAGACATAACTTTTGGGACTGGGTGCCACAACTGCATTTTCATTGGTTGTGGTTTTCTGTAGTGGTCTCAGTCTATTACACAGAGATGCTTCCTTGATGAGCAGTGAGAACTACCCCTACCTGTGGGTATGAGAACAAATTTTATCACGTAAGTGAGAGATCCTGTGGTTTAGTAAACGGTGGCTATAGGTTCTCCTCCATGGTTCATGACCTCTCTTGCCCTGGGTAGTTGACTGGGTTTACTGTACGATCCATCACGTGCTTCTTGGTCATTGTGAGGGAGTGTGCCGCTGCCGCCTCCTCAGGATCGCTGTGCTGTGCTGGCTATCGTTGTGGTTCCTAGGCATCGCCACTGGGTTCGACTGTTGATGCTTTACTCCTGTGGAAGCTTTTGTGATGCCTTCTGGTGCCATGAAAGCTGGTCCACAGGGAGGAGGCTTTGGGTCAGTTCCAGCTCAGGGGTCTCTGGCCTTGCACCTGAAGTTGAAGTTGAAGTCCACATTGAAGCAATGTGGACTTAAAATCATTGCTTACTAGAAACCTGTTTAGAAAGAAACTATACAAAAATCTAGTGTTTTCTTGCATCAAGTTTAGCACTCAACAGCCAGAACCCATGCAACCGCTGTCCTTTTTGTTAAGACAATTTCTACTTTCCCCTAGTAAGTAAGTCCTATTCGGAGCTAGAGAAGCAGGAACCAGAATTCTTTTTAAAGAGTAAAATGTATTTTCTTTATATGTTTGAGTGTATGTTCTAAGCATCATGTGTGAGCCTGGTGCCTACAGATTTGAGAAGAGGGTGTCAGATCCCCTGGGGCTGGGGTTAGCCATAGTTGTGAGCCGCCATGTGGGTGCTGGAGCTTGAACTTGGGTCCTTTGAGAGAGTAGTCAGCACTCTTACCTGCTTCTGGTCGGTTCTGAGATTAACGGACATCAGCCCTTCCAGGCCTAGGTACTCCACAGTCTCTGGAATGTGGCTAGGGACATTTTGACCCAATTCAGCTAAGCTGGCTTTGGCTGCTTGCAACAAAGCAGAGACTAAATGAGCTGCAGTTTTTAAATAAGATAGATTTAGCATCTGTGTTCTGAGCTTTCAGCAGGAGTCCTACCTAAGCCTGAGCCAGACAGACAAAAAGCCTGCTTCACGGTGAATTCAAAGCAACTGCACTGGAGTTTTCATAGAATCAGTCTCTGAAAGGGTTTGAAGAGTAAATTGGAACCTAAGCATTTAGTAGGAATACTCTTTGTAAGCACACGTGTGTCAGAGTCTCGGAATGGCATGCGTATGTTGTATGAGGCGCTCTGCGGTATGTTGTATGAATTATACATATATGACATTGCTGCTGGCTAAAATTCAGATATGCTCTAGCACGTTCGGTGTGCCACGGGAAATGTGATTCCATCGTTTATCAGTGATTTTAGTGATGCTGAATGTAAAATGGCACCACTGACTTTACTGTTACTCTATTCAAGGCCGCCCATGTCTTTTTATCTGTTTTTTTCTACTTGGCCTGATTTGGGGCATTCCAGGCTCCAGAATTGTGACAGGAAAGTTTGCACCTTAAGCATTATGCAGTCCTCGGCATTCTGTTGGGAGGTGAGAACCGGCTAAGACGGCTGTGTACACGGCATAAAGATGGGGGTCTGCAGGCACCGCTGTGCCTTGCACATCAGCTCTCTCCGAAGCATCACCCGCCATGATGCTTGGATGTTCCCTTCCACCTTTGAGTGCAGGGGGGAGTCGGTTTTTGTTGTTTTAAAGCTGCGTGTTTTCCAACTCCTTTTCCTTTTTAGATTTAGATCTTTAAATAATCTTGAAACAGGAAATGTCTCACTTCCTGCTGGAATCCATATCTCTCAGTGTAAAAGTGTTGGCTCATCACTTCTCTGCGAAACTCCTTTAAGAGGGTAAACTGGGGAAAGGTGACCTGAGTTGCTTAGGGATGGGAGTGGCTGGGGTGGAGGGTTCTTCTATTGTCTGCGTGCTCATTGGGCAGAAAACCTGGGTGGGAAACGGGTCATGACACAAATATCAAAGAAACAAGGAGGGGATGGGTGAACATGCTTCCTTCCTGAGAGAGGGAGCAAAGCAAGGGGAAAGAGAATAAGAAACTGAAAGTTGCCTGAATAATGTCAACAACAAAAAAGCTGGAAAAATAAAACACAATTAGTTCTGACTGAAAAGAGAAGTAGCTGAGAGACATGGGAATGCAACCTGTTTAGACCAGAACCAGATTTTTTTTTTTTTTTCAAGACTGGGTTCTCTGTGAGGCCAGGTTGGCCTCGAGCTCACAGAGATCCACTGGCCTCTGCCTCCCTGAGTGCTGAGATTACAGGTGTGGACTACCACACCTGGCTCCCAAACCAGATTTTGTTAATTTATTTTAGGTTGCGTTTACAACACCACACCGTGATTTTGTCCGTTACCGCACTGACATCTAAATCTGGATTCCACATGCGATGTCGCAGCGATTCCTGTTAACCAGCTCTTGTAGTCTCTCAGCATTGTCTTGTCTTGCCCTTTCAAGGCTAAAGGGCAGCTTTTATTTGACTGTTATCAAATGCACACTGTACGGATGTTTGTAACTTCAAATGCTTCTCTACATTTTTAAAGGTGAACTTCAGAAGGTGTCGACAGCAGCGTGTGAGGACGTTTGCAAGAGTCCTCCGGCCCACAGACACAGCCACAGCCACAGCCACACTGACCACTCCTTAGCTGTGTTTGTGTTCTGTGTTTCAGAGATGACTCGTGTAATGAAGAAAGAACACGCCTTGTGGGCATCTGTGTGTCTGTTGCTTAGCCTTGTCCCCGAGCTTCTTAATGCTCTGACCGAAGAGGTTGATGGACAAGCAAAAGCCACAGGTAAAACGCTGCAGAGACTGAGCTTTTCTTTTCCTGACCCAAGCTCTCAATTTAGGGTAACATCCACATTTCTTTTATTATGCTAGATTTTTAAAACTGTTTTTAGATGTTTGCCTTATTATTTTACGCGTATGTGTATTTTGTCTGCATGTGTGTCTGTGCACCAGTGTGCGGGTCCTCAGAAGACAGAGGCCGGCACTGGATCTCTCAAAACTGAGTCATAGCTGGTTGGGGGCCACCATGCGGGTGCTGGGATTGACCCTGGACCCTCTGGACGAGCAGCCAGTGCTCTTAGCTGCTGAGCCATCACTCCAGCCCCTTAGATTTTTTTTAAATGAAGTGGTATTTTTCTTAAGACAATTCTTGTATTGAGTGTGTTAGTTTTTAGACTGTGCAAAATCAAGGCACTTCATCGAGACATGCCTTTTGTGTGAACAGGAAAGTCAACTCTCTGAAATATTGGAAGATCTGAAGGAGATTCTTGCTAACATGAGCTTATCTTTGAGCTCCTTCTTATCAGTATTTTCAAAATAAGAACATCAGAGATGGAACTAATGTAGGAACCTAGTTGAGCAGGACATCAAAGGAACTAGTGAGTTTCAACTCCCTTAACTGTGTCTAAAATAAAAATATTAATAATGAAAAAAAAAAAAAAACCTGTGTAGTCATCATTGTGGATCTGTATAATTTCCCCATCGTAACACAGCACTATTGCTAGAACTCAAGTTGTTAGTGATGATATCTTAGCTCTGACGTGTGTTGGAGTCCCACACACGCATTGGCATGTCTAGTGAGTTTGTCCATGTACTCCCTCGGACAGAGGTTGGGTATGTACGTGTTCTGAGCTGAAGTTGTAGTTGGTGGCTGAGAGGAGGGCCTTAAACCCTCAGAGCTCCGCAGAGGGTTTCCACTATAGTCCAGGCCGACTTTACGTCAAGAGCTTTTCTTCTGTCTCAGAGCTAGGGCTGAAGGCGGGGTCCTGCCCCTAGCTACAGCTCCATTTCACAGTGCAGATCTGAGGTTCTCTTGATCGTTTACTTGAACAGTCTCGTCGAGATTTGTTTAATTTCTGTTTAATTAATTTTGCAATGCCCAGAGGCGCTCAGCATGTGGGCCCTTAGACCGTAAGTTACCTGGGATCCTAGATTCGCAAACAATCTCCAGGACAGTAGTATTGTAATGATCAGGGCATCCTATGACCTTGAGCTTTTTATTTGACACAGGAAAGGAAAGTAGATTGTTACTCTCAGGCACAAACTATATGCGATCAGTTGTAAATATTTAAATATCAGTTATAATTCTATTTATCTTGTTACATTAGATCAGATTCTTCTTAGGTTATTCTGCCAATTCCCTGGTTTCATGCTACAAGGGATATTCCTTTTTTTTTGGACGTTATCCTCCACTCTCAACTTCAAGTGTAAGAAAAGTTAGCCTCACCCTTCCATGAGCTATTCCGCTGTCCACCCTTTAGTAAACTCCTCACTAGGTCTTAGTGGTTGCAGGCTTCATGAAGGGCTCTGTACCTGCTCTGTTGTCATATCTGCTACAACAGCCCAGCGCTTGATACCTAAGTATTCAGTAAGCAATCTTAACATGCAAAAAGGTTATCCCCCAAAGGAAACCAAGACAGGCACCCACCTTCCCTCCGGTGGGTGGCTCTGCATGTCAGGGGGACCACCGAGCACCCCGAGTCAGGGGTGCTGCTCAGATGTGAGTGCTGACAAGCTGAATGCACAGAATGTACTGATACAGAATTAGGGTAAGTTCATTAACACGGAAATCCTAAAAGAAGAATAGTCAGCTAACAACAAAATACAGGTAATACAAAATTGATAGTTTTGTTTATAAAGCAAATTCTTAGAATGCTGTTGAGTGTAAATTATATTATTAAATTTACTTATTTAATCCAGGTGCCGTCTTGGGCATCTCAGTCATAGGTTTGTGCCATTGTGGCTCTAGCTGTGTAAGACATCTGCTACAGCAGCAGAGGGGCCCAGTTCGATCCTGTGCTGGTGTAAGTCTGAACGACCGAGTTTCCCAAAGTCTTTGTTGTGAGATGAAGATAACACCTACATCACAAGGTTGTGATCAGTAGATGACCCTCCTCGCCCCCCACAGGGTCTCTTCGTGTAACCAGGCTGTCCTGGAACGCAGAGATGGGCCTGCCTCTGCCTCCTGAGTGCTGGGATTAAATGCGTGTGCCACCGGTGATTGTCAGATGATTTTAGAATAAAGTTTCTTGAACCTGTCATCACTCAGAAAAAAATTGCCTGTGATTACTGTACCTATTGCTGTTGTGTAAATGCAGACAGTTGAAAAACAAAACAAAATGACTCTTTGGTGGTACACCGCCACCCTCTTGTGGCGTGATCATTAACTAGCATTCTGAACTTGGGTTTTCCTGAAAACACACACAAACACACAGCCAAGAGATTGCAGACAGCAAAGATCTTACATAAGTCAGCCAGAGAATAGAAAGAACAGGAAGACAAGGTCTGTGCTCAGCTCGCCTTTCCCTCACTCTGTCCAGTTCCCAGCCAGAGCGTGGGAGCCGGCTGCAGGGGACAGGTCAGTTAGCTGAGTCACCGAGTCCTCGTACCCCAGGCCGGATCAGAAACCGCCTTCAGGTGATTTGATTCACACAAGTTGACCATTAACACCAGCCACTACGGCTAACTGTAATTTTATCAGTTTTGTAAATGACTGGAGCTGAGGAGATAGTAATGAGCTTCTCCTGTAAGACCAGGATCTGAGATTTATTCCAGAACAGAAGCAAAAGAACAACAACAAAACAAAAAACAACCGGTGGATCTTGATGGTGCATGTTTTTAAGCCGAGTGCTGGGAAGCCAGGGAAAGGTAGGCTCCTGGCACCCACTGTCCGGAGAGCAAGCCAGCCAGCCTCGCCCACCTTCTGAGTGTCAGGCTAGTGAGAGACAGGAGTTGAAGAGAGACAGTCCCTTCCACATCAGCATATCTGCAGGCATGTACGCACACAAATACATAAGTAAACAAATGAGAACATTCCGATTTCTTTGCTAGAATCTTAACTTTATTGAAATATAGCTATAAAATATATTAGTTTAATATATATAACTATAATGATAAAATAAAAATGGAAGCAGATACTTAAAAGTAACCTAAAACAAAGTTATATGAATATTTTTCAAAAAGTCACGTTTTAAATTTGCAGGGAATTTAAAAAATGGATTTACAGCAATATTATTATCCAACTACAAATTTGCTTTGTTTTAAAATAATTTTTGTATGAAAACATTAAAATGATGCTCATCCATGTTTTAGTATCTGATTTTATGGGGAATGAAGCAGCATTTGGTAGCTGTGCTGATAGCCTTTGACTTAACAGAGCACTGCTGCCCCTTCAGGCAAAAGCCGGAGGGCCTCTGCGAGTTCAAGGCCAGCCTGGTCTACAAAGAGAGTCCAGGACAGCCAAGGCCACACAGGGAAACTCTGTCTTGAACAACAACAACAACAACACCAAAATAAAAAAAATAAATTGAGAGTGAAAATTTTGTATTTCACACAACAGCAGCAAGGACATTATCATAGTGTTGGCAGAGAATAAACACGGGAGCTTTTTATTTTTACCTTGCAGATTCTGAGCTGCCGCCAGGGAAACCGCTGCAAACATTCTGTGCAATGAAGGTGGATGGAGGCCCGTGCAAAGCAATGATAAGGAGTTATTTTTTCAATCTGTCTAGCCAGCAGTGCGAACAGTTCATATACGGAGGGTGCCGAGGAAACCCAAATCGATTTGATACCCTGGAAGAGTGTAAGACAACGTGCATAAAAGGTACGTTTCCGGAAAGCCTCTGGCACAGGAGCTGGTCTGGTTACCAGGTCTAAATGCAGATTTGGTAATTTTTGAAAAGCAATGCTATTTCCTAAGAAATCCTACTGCTTACATTTCTATGTTTCATAGTTAACTGTTGTTTTTTTTTTTATTTCTTCATATCAGTTATCATAAAATTATGAAGCCTCATTTATTATCTTAGCATCTTAGAATAGCAAAAAGGGAAGGAACAGTAAAGTCTGCTGAAGGATTTCATAGGTACAACAAAATGAGTTCAGCTAACCTACCTGGGTGCTGGGTTGGCAGAAAAAAATTGTTTTTCATGTAGACTTGGCTGCAGCTTTATAAATAGAATCTTCTTTCAGCAACTTTCTCTGAGATAATGAATCAGAGAACCGACAGGCTCCAAAGACAAACATGTTGACATATACAAATGTTTACTTTTTGAGTGGCTTAGTGCTTCTAAGTCTAACACAGACCTAGAGTCATTCATATTGGAATTTTGTAAGATTACAGAAAACCTAGTCAGAATCCAGCCCTTCCATGAAAATTTTACCTAAGCTAGTGCTGGTGCTGACTTTACTGCTACAGGACTTAAAGCATAGGGTAATTAAACTTGATTGGCATTTTTGCTTTTTATAGTATTTTAACAATGTTCACAAATGCCACCCCAGGTGGCCTGACTGACTGCTGGTAGAGAAGCTACAGGAAATGAGACGTTGTGCATTCCAAAAGCTGCAGGGAAGCGGCTCGCAGAAGGAGCGGATGCTCTGGGGCAGCCATACCTAGCCTCCCTTAAACCTCCCTCCGTGCCATGTGTACTGAGATATGACCGGTGCCCTATTACCATGCGTCATTCTACATTTCTGTGTATCAGCTAAGATAATTTTCAAAAAAGCAAAGCGGAAGCGGGAGGTGGGAAGCTGAGTTCCGTAGCTGACTTTCTGCACGGCATTTATCAGGGCCTTCATTTGATATACACTAACAAACAACGCCTTTAATCCCAGCACTCAGGGAGGCAGAGGCAGGCATATCTCTGTGACTTCGAAGCCAGCCTGGTTTACAGAGTAAGTCTGGGACAGCCAAGGCTACACAGAGAAACCCTGTCTGGAAAAACAAAAACACCCAAACCAACCAAACAAACAAAAAAGGCCTGGCTTTAATAATCTATAAATAAAAACAAACTTGATTCATTAAGGCATTCTGTATGAGGATAATATTAATGAGATTATGTAACTGTTCTAGTTTAAAGTCAAGTTCATAATATTACTTTATAAATGATGGCCACTAAGTCACTCATTTTCTTTTGCAGGTTATAAAGAGAAGATGGTAAAGACAACATCCGGAGCAGGTGAACTTTCCTTATGTGTAAATTATTCTAAGGCAGCTGGCTGTTCAGTTCTTCTCTACCTCTGTAGATTGACTTTAAATCTACATGACATCAGAGATAATTCTTTCTATTTTTGTTTTTTTTCAAGACAGGGTTTCTGTGTTTAGCCCTGGCTGTCCTGGAACTTGCTCTGTAGACCAGGCTGGCCTTGAACTCAGAGTTCTGCCTGCCTCTGCCTCCTGAGTGCTGGGATTAAAGGTGTGTCCCACCACGGCTGAGATACTTTTCTGAATTAGAAACAGTGAAATTTTAGACACCACAGCCAGGGGGAAGCCTTGACAGGCCAGGAGTTTTGCAGCGTGCTCTCTCGGGCAGTGGTCTTCAACCTGTGGTCGCTACCCCTTGAGGGAGAGCTAGCAACCCTTTCACAGGTGTTGCCGATCAGATGTCATGCGGACCCGATATTTACATTACAATCCACAACTGCAGCAAAATTATAATTATGCAGTAGCAATCAAGTAATTTTATGGTGGGGGTCAGCAACAGGAGGAACTGTACTCAAGGGCCGCAGCATGGGAAAAGGTAGAACACCGTGCCAGAGCCACATTGGCTGTTTTAAAACATGCGGGCGATGATGTAGCCCTGATTGTCTTATTCACCCGCTAAGCCATAGTTAACCTCCGCTCTGGGTGATTTAGGAAATCTCATTGAATGGATGAACTGACACATGCTTGAATTGTTAACAGTCCTGAATGTAAAGGTGAGTGTAGATAAGTTAACAATAGCTGCCTTATTTAGTGCATGTATCATTATTTAGTGTGCACACGTATTTTTGAATACAGAATTTTTTTTACTAGTTGTAACTTTTTAAGGACTTATTATAATAATAGTGTCGCTGTGTTGGGAAGCCAAGCTCCGCTTTTCCTGCCTCTGTTTTGGTTTTGCAGTAAAACCAAAAAAAAAAAGCAAGTCGCCTGCTTTGGCTTCCAGCTTACTCTGCAGTCTATCGACGTTCCGATCCCTAGTTCAAACTGCTGTCAACAGAGGCCTAGAAACTGGTTTAATCCAGGTGCCACTTATGATATTTGTACTGAATAGGAAAATATATTAAAAAAATCAAGCTGTTTAACTCAAAATCCTGAAAATATTAAGTAATTTAAAAGTAAGTGAAGATGCAAAATTCAAGGTACACTTAAATTTTAACATCTTTTTAACCGTCCTGTCTGGGAAACAGTTGAAAATATCTTTCACTAATTGGAAATCTTCAGAACTAACTTATCAGAATTTAATTTAAAAATGCATAAAATGGCCAGGAAGTGGCGACCCATTCCTTTAATCCCAGTGCTCTGGCAACAGAGCAGGTGGATCTCTAAGGAGGAGGCCAGCCTGGTCTACAGAGTGAGTTCTGGGACAGCCAGAGATACACAGAGATCAGGTTTCAGAACCAAACCAAACCAAACCAGCAGGAATAAAATAAACTCAATTACAATGTATAACAAATAGAACTGATTATTTATAATTTTTAAAAACATATTCCTCTGGCATGAGAGGGGGAGGGGCACCCTTGGGATGTAAAGTAAATAAACTGAAAAGAAAGATATTCCCACAAATAGTGAATTAATTTTAGAGTAACAATGTGCAGTACTTCAGTTAAGTAAATTCATAGTTATTATTAGTACTGAAAAAACAGTATATTTATAAAATCCGTTTTGTCTACCAAATGAAGGAAGATATTTTTATGAAAGGAAATAGTGACATTGAAATATTAAGATTTTGCTGGGCATGGTAGTGCCTGTAATCCCAGCACTCGGGAGGCAGAGGCAGATGGATCTCTGTGAATTTGAGGCCAGCCTGATCTATAGAGCGAGTTCCAGGACAGCCAAGGCTACACAGAGAAACCCTCTCTCATAAAAAAAAAAAAAAAAAAAAAAAAAAAAAAAGAATGTAAAATTGTATTTTGGAATTCAAGAAACAGTCACAGTTCGCATGTAGACAGAGATTATAGCGTGGGTCATGATATTACACGTTCTGTGACAGCTGTGTTTAGCCTGTTCTGGAACGTGATCAAAGAAAGGATATTAAACTTTGCAAAAGCTCTTCTAATCCCCCAACATGTATTTCCTTTCTGCCTCTACATTGTTGCTTGGAAGAAGAGACGGGAGGGAGGGAGAGACGCAGAGGTGGAGGGTGCCATCCTGAGCTCAGTTATTAATTCCAGCACAAGAACTCAGGAACTTCCACGAATAGCCAGGCAGCTTCCTCTGAGAGCCTTTCCAATGTTTAAAGCCGCCACGGCATTCTTCCCAAGCAGCTCAGTTCCTTCCCTGCCGATTCCCAACACCTCAGCGGACCGTTCCTTAGTAAACAACAGAAGCAGTTGAAGCAAAACTTATCATACTGTGTTGTGCTTCTAAAGCAAGGTCAGCACATCATCAAATAACCCCAAATCCTATACTTCATTGTTTTATGAAAATGCTGATGGTATTTCCCTGTAATATAAGAAACCTAGGGCTAAAATACCAGGTAAAAATATAGAAGATACAGTTTCATCTTCCTTATTCCAAATACCAAAATAGCCAGATAATGGTTCAGTTCTTTAAAAATTTTCTTTTTTCTTTTTTTTTTTTTTTTAAGATAACTTGTTTGTTTTCATTTTATGTATATTGGGTTTTGCCTGTATGTATGTCTATGTGAAGGTTTTGGATGTTGGAGTTACAGACAGTTGTGAGCTGCCATGTGGGTGCTGGTATTTGAACCCAGGTCCTCTGAAAGAGCAGCCAGTGTTCTTTTTATTTTTATTAATTACAGTTTATTCATTTTGTATCCCCCTGTACCTTCCTCCTTCCTCCCCTCCCAAACCCACCCTCCCTCTTCCCCACCCATGTCCCTCTCCAAGTCCACTGAAAAGGGAGGTCCTCCTCCCCTTCCCTCTGATCCTAGTCCATCAGGTCTCATCAGGACTGGCTGCACTGTCTTCCTCTGTGGCCTGGTAAGGCTGCTCCCCCATTGTGTTCTTAACCAATGAGCTGTCTCTCTAGTCCCAATGGTTCAGGTTTTAATAAAGCAATTTTATTTACCTTTAATGAGATAAGAAATATCTTCTGGTTTAGTGTTTAAACTTTCAAAACTTTTTTCTGAATAAGTTGATTATGAATTTTGTTAAAATAACTAAATGATTTACAAAAGGAAAATATTTCTTTTTGATGTGCTTTTCAATTTCCAGAAAAGCCAGATTTCTGCTTCCTGAAAGAGGATCCTGGAATCTGCCGAGGCTACTTTACTAAGTATTTTTATAACAACGAGTCCCAGCAGTGTGAAAAGTTCGGCTACGGCGGGTGCCTGGGCAACCGCAACCAGTTTGAAACTTTGGAGGAGTGCAAGAAGACCTGTGGGGACGCATGTACGTCCCCTGCCCGTCTCTTTTGGGTCCATGTACAGACAGCATTTAAAACGAGGGCACTGGATGCTACTTACGCTGCACAAACAGCAATCGGGTTTGAAGGAGATTCACTACCGTGTTAAAACAAACCAAAAGCAAAAACAGACGCAGAGAATTAACACGACTGTGCAGGCACTACATCCCGCCGTGTTTTCAGGCGCACGGCTTAGCCTCTCCTCAGAGGACTGCAGCATCCGCTCAGCCAAGCCGCAGACTGCTGAAGTCTCTCATTCTTATAAACTGTGACGTTAATAATTACTCAAAATAAGAAAAAGGAACCCGTATACATTAACTGTTGCAGGATTTTGGTCACTAGCCGAAAGTTACTAATGGAAATCTTAGCTTGTGTGTGTATGAAGTTCCTCGTTTGCTAGTTTAGACTAGGACGGGGGTAAATGCAGAAAGGCTGCTGTTCCTAACACAGCAGTTGCATTTGCTTGATGTAAAGGTATGAAATTCTGTTGTCTTTTCACAGTATAATTGCTTGTTTTTCTTTTTTTTCCCCAGTGAATGAGTTACAGCGAGGTGATATCACAGCTGATCCCAATGCTGTAAATATCACTTTGATTTCCCAATCTACCAAAGTGCTCAGTCGTTGGGGTAAGAATCTTTTCAAAAAGATTTATGAATATATTATAAGAACAGTAGATAGAAGGGGTGTATGTTAGAATTATCTTTTAAAAATGGTTTTATTATTTGAGCGTATGTTAAATATAGACATCTGATGAATTTCAGGCACTTAATCTCATAAAAGTAATCAGTTTTCTTCATCTCCTTTAGAATGTGCTTTGCAGTAGGCTTTGCTCACGTGTGCCGTGTAGAATGTGCTTTGCAGTAGGCTTTGCTCACGTGTGCCGTGTAGAAAATGATGCATGATGCACTTTGTTTTAATTTAGTGTCATTACTCAGCTGGAGTTTGTCAACGTTTCCCGTTAGCTTTTTACCTATCCTAGATTTTTTAAAACTAGCTTTTCAACATAAGACTTCCTGTCAAATGAACTTATTCTTAATCACGTCACCCACGGTCACCCACTGGCTACTCTGTGTCCCCCGAGCTGATATTCACTGTCTCACCTGTGGGCTCCCTGCTGTACAGAAGCCCCCTTCCTCTGGCTAGCCAAGCAGTCATTTAATGTGGCTGTCGCCCGATGTGTCTGCCTCGCTCGAGTTACTATGCTACACAGTTCCGAGTATGATAATTTATAGCCTGCTTCTGTTCCAGCGTTCACCTCCATGCTAAGCGTATGTAGGTGACTTACATTTTTTACTTACTAATTTTTGATTGCACGTACGAAAGAAGGAACAAATAGTGGTTGGAAGAATGCTGATTATACTTGCCAAGTCTTTCCAAATGCCTTCTACAGTCACGTACTCAGGTTCTTTATTTTTAGGATTGGATAGCGTTCTATGTATACCCTGTTATTTGTTGCCTCTGGGTTTATTTAATATTTAGGTAGTGTACTTGATGCTTTTGCAGTTCTGATTAATAAAGTTTTAATGTAACATTTGTAGTTAACATACTCTTTTACTATGTTTAACTGGTAAACTTACACTAGGAAAGACAGACCAATCAGATTTGTTTGGGGTCTTTGGGGTAGACCTGATCATCTTGGAGAAATTGAAATTATTTTCCAAATTCTCATAGCCCACTTTGCTTCTACACGTCATCTCTTAACAGCTGCCTTGGGACTGTATCAGCTTTATGATATTTTGAAAAGACTCATCTTTGGTTAGACTTCAAGAGCCTGTGGCTGACTCAGTCTCCAGCCCTTGGCCTCTGAGTGAGCAAGGAGCACCTGAGTACTGACCCAGGGCCATACTGCTTCATGCGGCCTCCAGGCCCAAGGAGAATGACTACATGTAACAAAGAAGACTGGGGACACTTAACTCTTTCCTGACTCTACCCTGAATATGACCTGGGGCCAAACTCCACATTCATAGAAAGTGGTGGAAAGGAGCAAACACACATTTAATTATTTATGTATGTGTACACACACACACACACACACACACACACACACACGTCTCCTGGAAGAGGAGTGATGTTGATAGAGAAACTACTCAGTAATCAGACACTGACGTGTCCACGTTAGAGACCCACAGTGGAACCCTTCCATCTAGGTGTTCTCTTGGACGACACTGATTGCATGCAGAGGAATATTGCGATCATGTAAATTTTCTGGGAAGAAAACACCCCCTCCAACTAAAGAATTACACATTTATATGCACAGCCCACGGAGTCATGAGTGGACGGTGCTGTAAACCTCACTTCATCAGCAAACACTCACAATTTGAAGCAAGTATGGCGGCCTTCAAATATATTCTCACAGAGAAGCATGGGATAAATCTCATAACCTATGTGGTCCTGCATAGGAAATCTGGTAGCTGGTGCTGACACCCTGGCCAGCTGGCTTTCCATAAATAGAGCTTTAGCGGAGCTCGTCTCAGGCCTTCTACTTCCTGTCAGGAGTGCTGGCAAGAAACAGCAATGTGGCGCTTCCTCTGCCAAAATCACAAGCACCACCCCACCTCGCTGGTAAATCTCCCTGCAGACAGTCTTGTGTCTAGTCAAAGATGATGGCTGTCCCCGGAGCAGAGCCCGGAGAACGCCACTGTGTCAGCCATTTATTTCAAATGACGTTTACACTGAATAAAATAATAGAAATCCACATTTGTGCAACTGTAAAGCCACAAGAAAAACTTAGTTGCATATTAATACAGACCAAACTACTAATTAATACTGTGAGTTTCTTAAAATTTCCCTTTTCTTAAAACAGTAGGACATCCATATTGGAATATGAATTTTGTATTGATAGCAAAAAGATAGGCCAGGAATAAGAATTAGTTTAGAAAAACCTATGCTACTCCAAGTCATAATTCTCTTTACGGATCGGATGGTCTCTGCAGAAATGAATCGAGGAGCTCTCATCAGAGAGCCCCCACCTGCCTTTCCCAGCCCCACGGGGCAGTTTCCTACTTCCCAGTTTCCTGAGTGCCAGGAACATCCTCACTGGGAGCATCTGATCCCAGAAGCATAAAGGCCTGGACTGTGGTTTGTGATTTCTAGAGTGAGGCCAGGCTGAACGTGCCGACCGAGTGATTCCTGCCCTCGGATGACGGAATGCTATCTGGCTCAGCGCCAGTGCCCCCAAGGCCGTTTCCAGCCTCCCTGTTAGGGTTACTCTTTCAGTTAGCTGTCTTGCTCTTGTTCAGACTTGATGAGCACTAATCTGTCATGAGGTGCAGGGGCAGTGTGCAAGGCACATTTGGATTGTTTTGACTGGAGATTAAAGGAGAGGAGAATTGGAGATGAGAAATAATGGAGTCTTGCCAACCTCATCTGATAAAGTCTTTTAAATACTTGCTCCGTCAGTCAAGAAGAACTTCTCACTGAGCTTTTGAGAGATGTCTGACAGTGGGCGAGAACACTGGCTTTATGAGTGGAATTTGGCTTCGGGTCCAGTTCTTTAATTTCCTGACTTGTTTTGTACCTTGGAAAGAGGCATGTGTTTCTCTCAGCTTGCAGGTCTCTTTGCCACCTGTGAAATGTCGTGTGTCATAAAGTATTTGACACACTACGCCAGCACGGACCACTTCATCCTGTGCTGCCACTAACAAGAACATTGATTTTAAGGCTTTCCGTGGCAATGATGGTGAGCCCGATTCACCTAAGGTTTATAGGCGTAAAAGAAGTGGCTTCAAGGTACTGTCATACATACGCTATTATAACCTTAATAAACTAATGTGGTAAACTTGGGTTGAGAAATCTTAAGTCGATGTAGTTATCTGAATTAACACACAGTGAATGCAGAATTCAAGCACAATTTACTAAATAAAATCCTATCTTTTGTGTCTTTGGATTTTATTTGTGATCGCTGGAGGCATAAAATACCCATCTATCCAACTTTATGACCTGAGGTATAGCTTTCTGTGTTTTCTAACTTTAGTGAGATTTATCAAAAATTGATGACCTTGCTGATGGGAAGAGTGATAGAATCTGGAAATGGATGAATGAAATAGGGTGGTTTTGTTCTTTGCAAACGTGATTCCCAGATACGAGAAGGATTCAGATAAATAAACGGCTTCAGTAGTGAGGCCTTATAGGTGATACGACAGGACCAAGTCAGAGTGAGCTAAGGTGACATTTGAAATGTGGGTACCAGTGACTTAGGTCACAGAGCAAAGGTACTTGCTGCTGAGTCTTTCCTGGGGAAGGCCGCCTACCCACACCCAGCTTTCCTCAGCTGCCTGAACTCTTTGTCATTCTAAATCTGTGCTTCCAGATTTACATCTAACATCCTGTCTGTTGTGCTCCATTCTTTAGCTGGTCTAGACTTTCTAACACACTCCTTCAGATGAACCAGAAATATTCTTGTTTCTGTGCTCTCCCTCATATTCTGCTGTTTCTCTGACTGTTAAGACCCTATTCTTCTATTAAAGCTGACCAACATATTAAATAAACAGTTAATTTTCATCTGGCTTAAATATAATGTTTCTTATTGCACACATCATGGATTGCTTCAAAGGTGTTCAAACTCAAAATTATCTTGAAAAAATCATACCAATGTTCTAGAAGCTTTTACAGTTGGGCTTGATGCAGAGTGACCTGCTGCACAGATGACAGAGGCCCAGGATACACACGCTTGTGTCAGCAGTCACGTCCGCATAACCTTCCCTCCGCTCGGTTCTCAATGTGATATTTTTACACCTACCTTATTGTGTGTGGATGGGAGTGTCGCACGCGTGTTTGGTCTGCACATCTCCCGTGTGCATTACCTGAGGCAGCTGGCAGCAGTTGCTGGCCTGGGGGCGCAGAGTGGCATGAGCGTCCCCTGCAGGAGCAGCGGGTGTTCTCAGGTGCTGAGCCTTCTCTCAGCCCCTCTGCAGGAGATAAAAGTCCTGATGCTTGTATGATGGTGCTGATTGTATTTTTTTCCTCAAACATATATTTTCTAACAAAATGCCTAACTTAAAAAGAAAAACATGTTCATGAGAATTTCATAGTTGCCACTGTCTACAGCCATTTTGAATTTTGGACTGTTAAGACAAACCTTTGGGCTCAGCTCCCTTAGTGAACTCTGAGTACGGATTAGTCGGCATCTAGACAAAAGCAAACACATAACTCATCAGGTTCCCTCTTTCCTTTTTAATCTGTGTAGGCTTTCCTGTCCAGGAAAGATTTCTCACAGTCTGTTCCTCTGACCTTTCCATCTCGAATTCCCTGGCTGCTCATTTTAACCCCTGCTATGTGGCCCTGCACACCCAGGAGGGAAAATCATCCTCACAGTGACTGCTCAGCAGTCCTCGCTCTCTTCAGGGCTGAAAGGACTATGGGTTTCTGCTCGGTCAGTGGCTGTTCTCTTGGGCGTTTCTGCACAGCAGAGGAGGTGGTGGTGCCTTACTGTCCCTTACCAACCAGGCCGCGGTTGAGGATGCTCTGGTTTTTTACTTATTTTTTATCACTTTAAGGAACTGGACTTAATTGTAATTAATAATCTAGTCACTTATTTTTTATTGTGTAACTTGAGTGTTAGAATTTAGGAATACTAAACATATAGAAAAACAGAAAACAGCAGTAAAAATTGGCCACAATCACATCATACTAGTAAAATCATTGCTAGTAAATTTTATTTTATTAAAAAAATTTATGCTGGAACAAATGATCGGAGGGCTGTAAGTTCTGCTGGAGGGGCCCCAGCCCATAACACGCTCACCACAAACGTCTACTCTATGGAACTGCAGCCTAGCGAACGCCTCAGTTTACAGCCTGAGAAAGCAACACTGAGGTTACATAGGCTCTAAGCATTTTCCCCAATGAATAACATATATAACTTTCATTTTTACGTATGTGATTCTATATGTACTCATGTATGATGTTGACATATACTTCAAATTAGCATATTTTACTAATTTTAAGTTACACATTTTTCAACATCTTAGCACGACTGTAATCACGATGAAGTCTGTGAATGATAGGATACAATAATGTAATCAGAGTTTCCTTATTAGTCGTACATAAAATAGTTCAACTTAAAATCAAACACATATTAGAGTCTATGTAAGTGATGTTTAGCAGAACGAATGAAATATTATGCATATTTAAAATGATGTGTAATTATATAAAGTGTATTTACAAGTTATGAAGGCTAGAAATTATAGAGTAGTATCTAAATATATACCTTGGATGCAAATGATTTTGAGAAAATATTTACCAAGTCATTGATGGTAATTTAATTAGGGGGAGGGGAATTATGCAGGTGTTTAATTTCATTTTTTATCTTTTTATATTACTTAAATTTTTGTAAAAGTTATAATAAAATTATATTTCTCTTTACTGCAACTTAGAGGGAAAAAGGAAGTAAAAACTCTCAGAAGAAAACCAGTTGACAGGCGATGAGGCCGTTTATAAACACTGATAATGTTCTTGGTTCAGTGAGAACCTGTTCGAGAAAGTATTGTGGGAATGGGACCTTTGGTAAAGTTTTAGTGCAGTAAGTTCAAAGCTTACGCTATGAATTCCAAAGTAAATTTACATAAAACATTGTACTTGAAAAATGGACCCTGGGCCACCACCTTTTAGCGGTCACACTAGACAGTAATGTTTTCTAAAACAAATTGGAAAAAGGAGGTGCTGGGCCCTGAAGCCTAGCAAAAAGCTCCTAGACGGAATCCTCTCAGCTTGTCATTGATGCCGGGATCAGGATAAAGTGCCTTTGGCTGCCAAAGTCCCTTTGGAACATGAGCAGAAAACAGCCAGGTTAGTGTCTTTTTATTCTGTCTCAAAATCTGTCACTAGCTATAATCTAGACCAAAGGAATCACACCATGCACCTGCTTCAAAACCTATTTTCTTTTATTGTAGATATCAATGTCTGGAATTTAAATAGGTGAGTGTCTACCTATGTCTAAAATAGATTTGTTAACTGAACATAGGCAAACTTATCTTTTCATTTTTAAAAAAAATATTTTATTTTCTCACCTCTGGAAATTTAATTAGATGCTAGTCAAGGACTCCAAACATCCTGCAGAAACTGTCTGCTTTATTCTACCTACAATTTATGATAAAGTAATTAAATGTTAGCCAGAGTTAAAATAAAAGCAATGAATTAATTTCAATTTATTCTGTAACTTATGTTCTAGAAAAACAAATACCTTATAAAAAGTCTCCCAAATTGGAAATCATTTCGTATTTTTTAATACTTGACCATGTATAACCCAAAATATTTGGCGGTAAATTTGAAACTGTAGCCCGCGCTGAAAGCAGCATTCTCTCTAGCCCTGGCAGCCTGGTTGTTGACGCGGTCAAAGGGAGCCGTGCTGGATGAGTGTGGACAGGGAGGCGGCAGGCCCGACAAGGTGAGATAAGCAGCTGCCGCGGGGCCGCTTTGGGGAAGATGCTTGGGCTGCAGCAAGCGCGTGCAGCGGGAGCGGGAGCGGGAGCGGGGCAGGCGCTGACCTCAGCTCCGGCGCTGCGCTTGGCCCTCGGCACAAGTCCCGCAGCAGAAATGTGGTGTCTAGGATGGAGGAAGCTTTTCCCGATGCACCTGTGCTCCTCGTGCCTGCTTTCACGTGACCCCGCCTTCTGCTGGCCTGCGCTGCATTGGACACGTTTCCACTGGCTCCTGACGTCACGTCACTGCTGATTGTAAATGTTTCTGGATTATTAAGGGGCCATGACGCCCCTGGCCCAGCGTCCGTAACTCGTGTCCCTCCAGAAATGCCTGTGGTTCTGGTTTTCACCTGGGATGGAGGCGTTGGTCTCTGGTAACATCCTTTCTTCCCACCTCCAGGCTAGGGGCAATAGTCAAGCTAGCCTCTCTTCACTTGAAATATTCTCCGTCTCCATTATGAAGCTCTGCTTGCATCCGATCATGTGGAGAAGGGGCTGCTCTCAGAGAGCAAAGGCATCAGAAGGGCGGGCATCGCCACTAAAACGCCACAGTTAACTTTACAGTTACAGATATTAACACGTTCTCCGCTTCTTACTATGGAGAGACACACCCTGTATAGAGAACACCACAGTGACAGTGATGTCTGCATTCCATATCATTCTCCATACTTTGTTTTCAAATATATGTGGTACTTGCTGGGAAAAAAACATAGAACAAGGAACAAATTCCTCTGATTCTCAATTTTATTCAATTGCTTCTCGTCTGTCCCTTTTGTTTCTGAACCTGAGTGGTGGCTTTGGAAGTTCAGGAGACGAAGGTGGGGCAGTCGCTCACAGGATGCCTCTTGGGTTACTCGGACAATAGGAGGACCCAGCCGGGACCTGGCTCTCCTTTAAAATCCCTTCCTTGGAGATGTTATTATCACTGTTACTGAAATTATTAACCTTGCTGCACATTCTTGGTTTTTGAATGTTTTTGGTCTCATTAACATGCCAACCTATCTATGCTAAACCAGTGTCTTACTTTACTATGTAAATATAAAAATTTGTTTCATAGAAAATGATTTATGCATATTTATAAATGATAGTTGAAGTTTCAGAAGATAGATTGTTCAATAGGACTTGTTTGGATTATGTATAACCACTTTGTTCAGGCAAACACTAACTGCAAGCTTTCCTTTTGCGATGTGTTTTGTTCATTGGAGAACGTCATGGTCTTATGAACATTCCAATTTGTTTAAGCATATTCTGGAAATGGAAACCCTTGGGTTTCTTGTAGATTAATCTTTGTAGGATTCTGCTTTATTCAGAAGACATACTGTAAAGCTACTCCACAAGGAATACGTAATAGGAAGTCTCAGATTCACTATGCAGAGAGCTTACTATATTTTCTTGATTTTTAAAAATTCCATTTATTTATCTGTTTGTTTGTTTGTTTATTAGACTATCATGGCCCTTCATGGTGTCTTGCTCCAGCAGACGGTGGATTGTGTCAAGCCAGTGAGAAAAGATTCTACTACAATTCAGCCACTGGGAAATGTCACCAATTTAAGTACACTGGATGTGGGGGAAATAATAATAATTTTGCTACCAGAAGAGACTGTGTTAGAGCGTGTAAAAGAGGTATGAAAGAGGCTTCCTAGTAAATCACTAATATTTGGAATGATAATTATGTTTAAATTATGAAACAACAGATATTTCCTTACTTATGAGAAGAAATATAACGACTTAATGTCTATTCTCCCACTAACTAAACTTGGGTAATACTGCCATAATTGTTCTGCGTGTGTATCACAGAAGAGTTATCCATTTCAAACAAAATTTTAATTCTCTCCTTTTAAAAAGATTTTATTTTTTTATTTATGTTATGTGTGTGCCCCTGCATATGGGTTTGCTGTGTGTGTGCAGGCATTTTCAGAGTCTAAGTAGGGTGTCAGATCCTCTGGAACTGGACTTACAGGCGCCTATGAGCTTCCTTAAGTGAGCGCTGGGAACTGAAGTTGGTCCACTCTTAATGATGAGCCACCTCTCAGTTCCACTATTTCTTTCTTTTTTGTTTTATTTTTTGAGACATGGTTTCTCTGGGTAGCCTTGTCTGTCCTGGACTTCCTTTGTAGGCCAGGCTTGCCTCAAACTCACAGAGATCCTCCTGTCTTTGACTCCCAGAGTGCTGGGATAATCCCATATAATATGGGTGCACCACTGCACTCGGCAATATTTTTTTCCTAAATGTTTAAGAGCTAAGAATTTATTTTTAAGAAATACAGCAAAAGTCTTGCAAGTTCTCTCTCTTCTCCCCCTTTCTCTCTCTAGGTTTTTTTGTGACAGGGTTTCTCTGTGTAGCTCTGGCTACTGTGGAACTCACTCTGTAGATGAGGCTGGCCTTGAACTCAGAGATCTTCCTGCCTCTGCCTCCTGAGTGCTGGGATTAAAGGCATGCACCACCATGCCCAGCTAGCTGCAAGTTCTCTTTTAATACACAAACTGTAACATTTTGATGACTTTTTTTCTGACAATAATAGTGATATGATAGAACACAAATAACAGAAATTAAATAAAAGCTGGGAGTGGTGGTATATGCCTTTAGGGGAGGCAGAGGCAAGTGGATCTGTAAGTTGGAGGCCAGCCTGGTCTACAAAGGAAGGCAGCCAAGACTACACAGAGAAACCCTGTCTCAAAAAACAACCAAAACCAAAACAAAAACCAACCAACCAACCAACAATTAAATAAAACAATGCTATTCCAATAACCACGTATCTATCTTTTTTATGAAGATGAGTATGTATTTTTTAATTTTAATTTTAATTTATTCATTTTGCATCCTGGCCATAGGCCCCTTTCTCCTTTCCTCCTGGTCTCACCCTCCCTCCTTGTTTCCCCTATCCGCCCCCCTACTCCTCAGAAAAGGGGACCCCTCCCTAAAGCCTCTCCCAAGCATGTCTAGTTGCATCAGGACTGAGTGCATCCTTTTCCCCTGTGGCCTGGTGAGGGAGCCCCACCAGGGAAAGTGATGGAGAAGCAGACATCAGAGTCCCTGCCAGAGTCAGCCCCCATTCCCCTTACTAGGGAACCTATATGAGGACCGAGCTGCCCATTGGCTACATCTGTGTACGGGCCTAGGTCCAGTCCACGCATAGTTCTTAGTTGGTGATTCAGTTCCCACAGGTCCCCTTGGCCCTGGTTAGTTGGCTCTGCTGGTCTTCTTGTGGAGCTCCTGTCCTCTGAGTTCTTCTATCCTTCCTCCTACTCCTCCACAAGGCTCCCTGTCCTCCATACAGTGATTGGTTGTGAGTCCCCTCATCTGTTTCCACCAGCTGTTGGGTGGAGCCTTTCAGAGGACAGCTATGCTAGGCCCCGGTGTGTAAGCATACCAGGGTATTGTTATTTGTGTCAGGGGCTGGCTCTTTCTCGTGAGATGAATCTCAGGCGCGTCCAGGCATTGGTTGGACGTTCCTTCACTCTCTGCTATATTTTTGTCCCTGCACATCTTGTAGGCAGGATAAATTTTGGTTCGAACTTTTGTGTGTGGGTTGGTGTTCCCCTCCCTCCTCCAGGAGTCCTGTCTAGTTAGAGGGTGTCCTCTTCAGTCTCCGTGACTCCCGTTACTAGAGTCTCAGCTAGAGTCATCCTTGTATCCTCTCAGGAACCTACCCTGTCGTAGGTCTCCAGCGTGTAACAGAGAAGTCCGTGCCTAAGGCTTCTCCTCTCTCGGCAAGCCCTTCTGTCTTCTAGACCCAGCTCTCCCCAGGTCTGATATGGACCCTAATTTCTCTCTGTAATTCCTTTCTTACCCTGTTTCCTCTCTTCAACCACTTCCACTGTCTATTCTATTTCTACCTCTGAGTGGGAGTTAAGCATCTTCCTTTGGGTCCTCCCTGTTACTTATCTTCTTTGGGTCTGTGAGTTGTAATATGATTGTCCTGTACCATATGGCTTAAATCCACTTATAAGTGAGTATATACCATGTGTGTCTTTCTGCTTCTGGGATACCTCACTCAGGATGATCTTTTCTAGTTCCCACCATTTGCCTGCAAATTTTATGATTTCCTTGTTTTTAATTGCTGAGTAGTATTCCATTGTGTAAATGTACCACAATTTCTGTATCCATTCTTTGGTTGAGGGACATCTAAGTTTTTCCCAGATTCTAACAATTATGAATAAAGCTGCTAAGAACATAGTTGAGCAAGTGTTCTTGTATGATGGAGTGTCTTTTGGGTATATACCCAGGAGAAGTATAGCAGGGTCTTGAGGTAGCACTATTCCCAGTTTTCTGAGAAAGCGCCAGATTGATTTTCAAAGTAGCTGTACAAGTTTACATTCCCACCAGCAATGGAGGAGGGTTCCCCTTTCTCCACAACCTCTCCAGCATGTGTTGTCACTTGAATTTTTGATCTTAAGCCATGGGATGTAAGATGGAATCTCAGAGTCATTTTGATTTACATTTCCCTAATGGCTAAAGATGCTGAACATTTCTTTAAGTGTTTCTCTGCTATTTGATATTCCTCTATTAAGAATTCTCTGTTTAGGTCTGTACCCCATTTTTTAATTGGATTGCTTGATTTGTTGCTTTTTGACTTCCTTAGTTCTTTATAAATTCTGTATATTAACCCTCTGCCAGATATAGGGTTGGTGAAGACCCCTTCCCAGTCTGTAGGCTGCCGTTTTGTTCTATTGACAGTGTCCTTTGCCTTCCAGAAGCTTTTCAGTTTCAAAAGGTCTCATTTATTATTTGTTGGTGTTCTGTTCAGGAAGTTATACACTGTACCAACGAGTTCAAGGCTCTTCTCCATCTGGTCTAACTGGATGTCTGCATGTAGAAAAATGCAAATAGATCCACAGCAATCACTCTGCTCAAAACTCAAATCTAAGTTGATAAAAAACCTCAACATAAGCTCAGAAGCACAAATCTACTAGAAGAATATGTGTTTTTTTTTTTTTTTTGTTTTTTTTGTTTTTTTTACTAATTATAGTATACTTACCCAGTTTTGGTGACCCTCACACTTGCAAAATGACTTTCTTTTCTCTATTTTTTGAGACAGGGATTTTCTGTGTAGCCTCAGCTGTCCTAGAACTTGCTCCGTAGACCAGGCTAGCCTCAAACTCATAGAGATATGGCTGCCTCTGTCTCCTGAGTGCTGGGATTAAAGGCGTGCCCCACTACTGCCTGGTGCAAAATGACTTTTTAAAAAATATATTATTTTACGAAAAAAAAAATTAAAGGCTTTGAGAAAAATGTAGATAAATTCTTATTGTTCTCACCATTATCTTATCATTTATTGTTCTTATTGTAGGTTTCATCAAAAGAAAATCAAAAGGAGCAATTAAAATCCAAAGAAGAAAGAAGCCTTCAGTGAAAGTAGTATATGAAAGCATTAATTAGGATTAAGATATAAACACATTATATTTTTACATTAATTTCCTAAATATTTCCATAAGGTATTTTCACTATAATTTCTATTCTTCTACTACAATAATTTTAATGGATATATTAATAGCCAATTTTCCAGGCCATTGTGTCTGCTATGGATGAGTTTTCATTTCATTTCTTTTCTAACCTAGTCAGTGTACTTTTTTTTTTTTTTAAGGTGTAGTTTTAACTGGCCACTGTGAATTTCATCTTGATCCCTTTCTAAGTATTTCCACTTAATTAAAAGTTCTTTTGCTGACCCATAAACCAGTTTTCTTGTTTCCTTTGGGGACCATCTATTGGAAGATATATTTTCACTTGATTTGATCATGAACATTAGGTACCCTTGATAATCTAAACCTTGTCAAGTGGTTTTATTTTTTAACAATGTAAGAAATAAAATATTCTATCCCAAGCAATAAACTGGGCTGTTACACTGGTATTTATTAAAGAATTTCTTGTTACTTATCACAAAGATACAGAGTTGCGAAACCAAATAAAAGTTACTGTCCCTGCTTCACTCTGTTTGCCTCCTTATTTAGAACGTCTTGGTAATCTCCGTCAGTTACAGACGTGCAGGCACACACTACTTTACAATGCCTCCATAACCATGGAAATGCAAAAGGGATGAGTGAGGAGATCAGAGTGTGTGCTTTTCCTCACAGGACGTTGGACACGTTTCCCAGCACTCGTGCTGGGCAGCTAACAGCCATCTGTAATTCCAGCTCCAGGGCTCTGATGTCCTCTTCTGGACTACACAGGCACACAAGCCCACGTGTTACACACACACACACACACACACACACACACACACACACACACACACA